AGTATGTATGTATGTATGTATGTATGTATGTTTGTATGTATGTATGTATGTATGTATGTATGATGTATGTATGTATGTATGTATTGTATGTATTGTATGTATGTATGTATGGATGCATGCATGCATGCATGATCTTACGATCCGAGTCACGATGTTACGATCTTCATTATGCTTATCGATCCTACGTAGAATCTAGAGTTTGACTACCATGGGTGGTAGGAAGACAATATAATGAAAAACTCCAACTAAAGCAGTGGTGCTTTGAACAAAAGGGTCCAAATATGACATAACAGCTTCAAGGATAGATCGTTGCATAAGGCTTTAGCAGTAATGCTCTAGAATTTTCCAGGATGGTGTTGACACATATATAAGGGTTTGGAACCCCAAACGGGAGGCATTCTCATCAGCACTTGGCATAATAATCATGGCTCTTTGATAACTTGGGTTAGGAAAAATAATAAAATGAAGAAAATAATAAAATGTAAAAAATGATTAAAAAGCTACTATTTTTGAAAGAAAATTAAAAGATTATAAAAATGAGAATTAAAATAAACCTAAGCTAAACAACTTAGAATTAAACACTAAAAATATTAAAAATGCCTAAAATTGAATAAAAAGTACTAAACCAAACCCGAGTTATCACTCCTTCTATAGCCAATTCTGTAAGTGAGAATGGCGAGATTTGATGGTGGCAACCAATATTCATCATACCTTCATATTGGAACAGCCTCAACTCGAATTGCGTTTGCTGATTGCTATCCACGAGAGCTCTACCAGGATCATGGAGAGGCACTGTGTCAGGCGCTGACTTAGAGTTGCATTTGAAAATCCCTTTGTCATCATGTATGAAATTACTTGTTGGATGGGAGGAATTGAAGCGGTTGGCTGTAATGGTAGGGTGTTTGGGCTTACGAATGAATCTAACCCTACCCTTTAATTTTCTTTCCTTTCACCTCTAGATGGAAGTTACTATAAGTGAATCTTTTGCAGGGTGTCACAATATTAACAGTCTTACCATTGCCATGATCTGATACTGCCTGTATGGAATTAATGACATCAAGGCGAGCTACAGTGCTAAGTAATTGGTGTACTTCACAAGGAGAATAACTCTTGGATGAGAAATTGTATGGAGTAAATGGAGAAACTGAATTTTTGCATAAGGAACCCATAAAGATCTTATGGCTCCGATACCAAATGGTAGAACTCAAGACCGGCAGGGAGAATTAATGAAGGATAGTCTTTATCAAATTATGAAATAAGGATCTAACTTCATAAATAATAAAGATGAAGGGAAATCTTTATCACAATATGAGCAAGAATCTTAAACTCATATACATAATAAAGCCGAAGAGAATCTCCAATAATAATATTGAATTACTTTCTGGATAACATTTACAAATAATGAACCCCAATATTTATAGAAGCAAAATAACTACCAATACCTAGAATTTAGGCCCACTACCACATTATCTAGTAACTATTCCTAGACTTTAGGCTCTCTACCACATTACTTAGCAACTACTCCTAGAATTTAGGCCCACTTACACATTATTTACTACTTAGTAACTAACATATATAAAAAAATATTTGACCTCATAAACAAATGACCCCTGACACTACTATAAATATTAATAACATAAAATAACAGCATATGTGGCACTTTATCAACCTTCCTCTAGCCGCATGTCATATCGGGTATACACCTTAGCTAATAATTCAGCCAAAGTAGAGTTGACTTCTAAATTAAGCACAGAGGAAAAATAAATAGATATTTGTAAAAACCAAACTTCAAGCATTATTTTTTTACAAATATTATCCTATATTTAAGAAGATCTTTTGTGCTTCACACGAATATGGAACACTGTCAAAATTTAAAAAATCTTTTTTGTCTGAGTGATGCCACAAAAGTTCATGCATATTTATAGTACGGGTATTAAACACGAAGTAAACTATTAATAGCTCATACAAGCCAACCAATGTCAGCACTAGTGGAAGCCATGACTTGGGAATCAGCTTGCTTTAAGAGTTCAAAACAACCTGCTTCTTTCACTTCCATGAAATAAGGCAATACAAAAAAGTGCCGAACCTAGTAGTGAACTTGCATTCTCTACCAGTCTAGTC